TACTATGCCTACGAAGGGATGTTTGATATGTGGGGCCCTCTCTGATGTTGTAGTTGCTGTGTAGTCTGAGCACTTTATTATCTGTTGGTTTTAAAATTGTATATTATGGTTTTAAATTGTATTATAGTATTCGATGTTTTATGAGCAAGTTTTGCTATGTAAGCCGCCCTGAGCCCTACGGGGGAGGGCGGGATATAAATTTAACAAATAAATAAATAAATAAATAAATAAATAAATAAATAAAGAGGTGAGCCGTGACTCACGAAAGCTCATTCCCTGCCACAATTTTTTTTTTCCTTCTTAAGGTGCTACTGGACTCCTGCTCTTTTCTACCATATAAAGAAGTTTCTCTTAATTTCCAATTGCTTTTATTTATGTCTCCATATGTTTTGTTGCAAAGTGACGGATGTTTATTTCCACATCCAAAGCGACAGATGTTTGTTTCCACAATGGAGGCACAGGTAGCAGCCACTGCCAAGTTGGCCTTTTACCATCTCCAGCTGATTAGGCAGTTGGCTCCCTTTCTCGAACGCGGCGACTTGGCAACAGCGATCTATGCAATGGTCACCTCGAGACTGGATTACTGTAATACCCTCTACATGGGTCTCCCCTTGTCACAAATCCGGAAGCTGCAGCTGGTACAAAATACCACGGCCAGGCTGTTGATGGGACTCTCAATTTGGGAGCACATCCAGTCTGTGCTAAAGGTGCTGCACTGGCTGCCTATAGCATACCGGATTTGCTTCAAGGTGCTGGTTCTTATCTTTAAAGGCCTTTATGGCCAGGGTCCGACATAACGGAGGGACCACCTTTCCCCATATATGCCCCGGAGAGAACTGCGTTCGTGGACCCGGAACCGACTGATCCTCCTGAGTATCAAGGAGGCCAGGTTGGCAACAAACAGGTGCAGGGCCTTTGGTGGCTTCACTCTGGTGGAATGAGCTTCCAGAGGAGACCAGGGCCCTGAGGGACCTTTTACAGTTCCGCAGGGCCTGCAAAACAGAGCTCTTCCACCAAGACTTTGGAGCTGCATCCACCACCATCACCACCACTACCACCATCACAACTATTGGTGTCACTATCAATAACAACTGACAACCATGGTGGAAGCACTGAGCCACTGGTCCCTGTGACTATTGCCTGTCCTAGCCCCCCCCCCCCCCCAACTGAAGCAGACCAATAGAACTAAAGTAATAACTGGAACTGCTAACACTTTAATATTATGTTTGATTTCAACACTATTTTTATATTACTGTATTGTTGGCTGCGGTCACAGAAGAGAGAAAATGCGGGGGGGGGGGGCTGTTTGCCCTGGGCTGCAATGGCATGCCTTTGTGCGATCACACTTCCGGCCGTGCGCCCCGCAGTTCTGTATACTAGAAGGTTTTACCCGGTGGTTTTTTTCCATGCTCCTGCAGCGCAATACGACGCCCCACCAATGACTCCAAGACACCGAATAGATGTGTCTGTCAGATTGTGCCCCTTTACTCCGCGGGGGAATCGCACCGTTGCCGCCATTTTTGGTACGTATGATCGCACCCATTATTTATCAGGAATTGTATTAATGTAACAAGTCGTGTTTTATGTATTATGAGAGCTCTTATTCTGTTGTAAGCTGACCTGAGCCAGCCTAGGCCAGAAGGGTAGGATAAAAATCAATAAAATCAATGAATACATTCTCTTCGCATGTTGTCATTGAGTGTCATTTTTTGTTCTTTAAAAGGAAATAAACTTGTGTTGCTTGTTTTCTGCTTGATAGAGCAACTTATCATGGATGGGGATGCAAGTGACCGAAGAGACATAATTTCAGTGCTCTGCATATGCAGGACTTGGTCATTTATAGTCCTAGGCGTGGCCAAATTAATTCAAGCACCTAGTGGGTAATGCCAACGAGGTCGACCACAAAACTTGTGGGCCAGCTCAGTTTCCTAATTCCACATACCTTTTGCACGTGCAAAAGTCTCGACAAGCTGATGGGCCTCCTCTTCTACTTGGTGCTCCATGCCTTTCTTCCCCAGCCCCAGCTTCCGCATGGTGGCTAGGCCGAACTTCCTCTGTTGCTTCCACGTGTGGCCATTTGAGAATATAATACCTAGGCCAGGAAGAATCCATGAGAAATTAGTATGAAAGCACATTATTGTTTCAAAAGTGTTTAGGTTTCCAGCTTAGAAAACATCAAAGTTAATCCTTAGGTATGCTTATGAATGGAATGGTTTACTAATTCTTTAAGAACCATAGAAGCGCAGCTCTGCTGCAGAATCAGTCCCTGTCGGGTGCAGCAAATGTTCCCTCTAAGCTATGGAGTCCTTTTGAGCAAAAATTCTACTTTGTGAGCTACTGGCATGAAAGTTGTGAGCAGGTGATTTGGCTACTGCATAATTTTTGAAAAAAAATATTTATTGAAGTCATTAATCTTGCTTCCATATAACTCAAACAATACATAGCATAACATATATTACATACTTCAATTCAATAAATGCTTCTTTCCCCATTCCCTTTTCTCTCTCCCCCTTCCTCGAAATGACCAGCGGTAATTCCTTGATTTATAACTTTAACCATGACCACACCTTTTGAAGTTTAACCAATATGTTATTATTGCCCACCCCCACTTTTACCCATCTTATATACCCTAACCATTTCTTCTTGACTTCCACAATCTTATCCTCACCTAACTTTTCCTGTTTTAATATTGTTAATATGTCCGACTGTATCCATTCATATAAGTAATCATTCCATCTGTCTATACTCCATTTTGTAGCATCTTTCCAGCCAAATGCTATAACCGCATGGGCAGCCAAAATCATAGCTTTAAATAAATCCTGTAAATATTTAAAGCTAAAATCATAGCTTTAAATAAATTACAGTTCCCTAAAATCCCCATGAATAATACTTTCCCTGATAACTCTAACCTTACATACTTCCTCCACCTTTTCCAATATCTTTTGCCAAAAAGTAACCACCTGAGAACAACCCCACCAAAGATGTACAGTGGCTCCGGTCACACGGGCAGGAAAATGCAGGAGGAAAGCGTGGCTGCTTGCCCTGGGGCAAACTAACGCGCGGTTAAGCGATCAGACCTCCCGTGGAGGTCCCGTGGAGGTCCCATGGGTAGGGACAGGTGCCGATCACAGGACAATCTTGCGCGCAACAAAGAAGCGGTGCGGTGCAGCAAACTGGGGTTTTTTTGTGTGTGTACACCAAAACTGTGCATGCTCTGTTGGGTGCTTGTGCGCATCCATGGAGACTTGGGGAGGGGAAAACCTTTTTGCAAGGGGACATGGGTGGGCGCCGGATGCCACCGGAAACGCGATCAGATGCCCGCCCTTGCCCCACGGTTTCCAGAAACTAGTACCTCCGAGGTACTAGTTTTTTGCTGCGCGTCTTCGGCGGGAAGCCTCGGTTGAGCCACGGGAGTGCTACACTTCCCAGATGTGCTGGTGAGATCGCACCCAGAAAATCCGCCTGTCTTCCATCTCTCTAGCATGGCTAATGTTCTGTGTGACCACAGCCATAACAACCCTTTTCTTTTTTACAATGCCAACAATCGGATGTCAATCCCTTGATCATATAAGATAGCTGAGCAGGCGTCCTATACCATTTCAATATTAATTTCATCACCATTTCTCTAAATTTTTCCATTTTTATATCACTAATACCTTTCATTATTTTATTTATCTCATTTTCTGATAACTTTACATCTTTCTCCCATTTTTGACTGTATTATACCAGTCATACAAATTTTATCTTCAATCCATCTGCTATATATCTTTCTTACAATACCCTTTTTATTATCTTCTTTAATTGCATACGATTCTTCCATCGAGGTGTCCTCCTCATTTAATATTCCAGAATACTTCCTTTGTTTCAAAATATCATATAAACTAATAATTCTTAACCAATATTGTCCTCCCACTCTTCCCATTACTTCTTGCATCTGAATTAAATTTCCTTGAGCATTATACATATCTTTCCCTTTCCATAGGTCCTTTACCTGTAGCTTTTCCCAAAAAGTTAACTCAAAATTTTTAAATTCCACACTTAGTGATTCAAGTGGGGTCCACTTTGAAAGAGGAGCATCCACTTAGCCTGTTCCCCCCCCTCCATATTTTTAATGCTGTCCGTCTTGGGCCTATTGTATTCTTGATCTCTTTTTTTAATCATTGTGTAAATATTCCAAACCTGCCTTCTCCTCCATTTATACAGTCTTCCCATTGGACCCATTTAACCTTACTTTTACCATCCATTTCTAACAACATTTTTATTTGGAAAGCTTCATAATACCCTGCATAAATTACTTTGCTCTGGAGCCATCCTTCCTGAGCTAAGACAAAAATGTATGAGCCGGAGGCTCCCTAGGGTAGTGAAGGGCGGGGTAGAAACCCAATCTCTTCTCTTCGTCTTCTCTTCTTATGCCAACACCTTCGCATGCAAGTGCCACTAAACAATTCACTTCACTAAACAGTTAGGTAGCAGTGCCAAGTAACAATGTTGTTAAAATACCCAGGAATTTCGGTATCAGATTTCATCAGCCAGAGATATCGAAAAGTGACTGGAATAGCCCCTGTGGCTTTTCAGCAGAGAAGACAAAGACAATCTTTTACTTTCCCCAACAACTCACCCTTTTCTTGCGCTAAGGCTTTAAGGAAATGACCCAGTGGTCGTTCAACAAAGTCTTCTGAGTGGTTTATCAGTGCTTCTTGTACTGCTTCGAATCCACACAGTACAACTAACGGTATGTGCCCCATCCACACGGTGTAAATGTTTCCGTATTGCTTTGCCACCTGCCATTTGCATCCAATGAGACAAGAGGAGTTACATTCAAACAAATTGGCTGAACTAATATAACACGTGTGCTTCAATAGAAGACATGCTCTTCATCCTTCCTTACCTTGGCAGCTCCAGTCCATAGGCTTCTCTCCTCTCAGCTCATTCTTCCTTCTCCTGGAGACACTCTCACTTCTAAGCTTTCTGTTGCCCCTGACTGAGGCCCTTTCAGCACCCGTATTTTGCCTCAGTTTCTGAGCACATCCTATTCTTCCATTCTGCATTCCCTCCTTCTTCCACTTCCAGTTTGTGTCAGGGCTTTTTCTTGTTTCTGCATTTGTTTTACAGGGATCTGCATTCAGACCACTTCCAGCACACTCTTGCCCTGCAGCCACCAAAACTCCTTTTGCTGCGATTCTTGGTTCTCATCCACTTTTGAATTGCTAATCCTCTCTAAAGTAAAATTGTTTCTGCAGGTATTTAAGTGCCTCCCACTGCTCTCCCCTGTTTCCACCTCTCCCTCCCCATTCTGTTTTCTTTCCCTCCTTTTCAAAGACAAAAGAGGACATGTCCTCCTCCTCAGGAAATTTTTAAAAAAGCCATAGGGAGCATAAGGAGGAATCAGCAGGGGTCATTTTGTAGAAAAAGAGAACATAAGAACATAAGAACATAAGAGACGCCAATGTTGGATCAGGCCAAAG